GAACGCCTGTATCTTCAAAGTGGTGTCTTTCCTTCAGGATTTGTAGCTAAATTTTGTATGCAATTATTTCCTCCATGCTAGATGCATGAACTACACATTTATTCACATTAAAGGTAGTTTGATTAAGTCTCAAATACTTGGAGACAGAACTGTCCAACGTGTATTTCTACTGTCTAAAATGTCAATTATTTTTATCGCCGAAGAAATATATATAAACTAATTTTGACTAATTCCTTTAGAAGACTGAAACTGATGGAGTTATAAGATGGTGGTGGCTAACTCTTTAGTAACATCACGAGACAGAAGTGAACATGTCTGAATCTACGTACATTCGCTGTCTACAGATCGTGTTTAAGTTAAGTTGCAAATTTTCCACCTGAATTCACGATAGGATGAATATTTGCAACGAAGTGATACGGTTCAACAATTGTCTAAATAAAAATTACATAACGAGGTAATTCATAACTTGTACTCTTCAGAAATAGCACAAAACATATTGTGCAGAATCGCAAAGAAAGACACCTCTTATAAGAGTTACAGCCCAACATTCAGATCAAAACTAATGTAAAGAAACAGCAGGTGAGAGTCTGGATTTAAGTCAAAGGCAGACTCAGATGAAGTCGATAATGAATCTTTGTGGTCCGTAATTGGCGAGAAATCTTTTGATTCTTCGTGAAATCCGCCGGAGGCAGGTACGTCATTAACTTGAAATGGAAAACGTCCAAGGAAGACGCCCCGGTAACTTTTCTCTGTACCAGACTTACAAGAATCTATATTTAAAGAAAATAAAAGGCAATTTAGAATTGGTGTGCCGTAATTTTATAGTTACTAATCGTAGTAATTAAACGCTACAAATACCTAACACAAATCTTGCCACGTTTTATACTTGATAGCTTTCCTGAGATCTCTTCTAGCTGTCAAATCCTCTTCCCTTCCCCTGCACATCTCAAGCTATTAAGGACCCCAGAGTGCAACAGCCCTTGAAGTCTGTCTAATTCTTTACTAACCATTATGTCCCATACACAGGATTGAGCAAAGCGCATGATTGCTGTTTAGACTTGAAGACAGTGGAACACATTAGCGCGAACTCAGCCCAGAACCCACAGAGTGAGGAGATTTGAAAACACAAGCAACTAAGTAGAGCTTCTGGTGCAGCCTTTGATTTCCCCGGAGACCCACTGCAAAGCCATTACACGTAGGCCCCTGCGTGCCTCTGCAACCTTGCAAGCAAGACCTTCCCACTTGGTGTTCGCCAGTATTCAGTGTTGAAATAGCTATTTACGTGATATAAGCGTTTCCTTCACACAACACCGCGTCTTCATCCAACCTGTGTCACGATTTAAAGAACCAAATAAGTGACGTATACCTCCTACATCTTGACGCTAACAGCTAATTAATGAAGATTTCTGTCTTCTGGGTTGTTGCGCTGTGTAGTCTGGTTGATGTTAACCAACGTTTCAGAGGTCATATTGCCTCCATCATCAGGGCGATGAAGATTTCTGTCTTCTGGGTTGTTGCGCTGTGTAGTCTGGTCGATGTTAACCAACGTTTCGGAGGTCATACTGCCTCCGTCATCAGGGCGATGAGTATGAAGATTTCTGTCTTCTGGGTTGTTGCGCTGTGTAGTCTGGTCGATGTTAACCAACGTTTCGGAGGTCATACTGCCTCCGTCATCAGGGCGATGAAGATTTCTGTCTTCTGGGTTGTTGCGCTGTGTAGTCTGGTCGATGTTAACCAACGTTTCGGAGGTCATACTGCCTCCGTCATCAGGGCGATGAAGATTTCTGTCTTCTGGGTTGTTGCGCTGTGTAGTCTGGTCGATGTTAACCAACGTTTCGGAGGTCATACTGCCTCCGTCATCAGCATAACAACCCAGAAGACAGAAATCTTCATACTCACCGCTGTGAAAACCTCAAATCTATTTCGTACAATGTTGCAAAAGTAAGTAATAACTTCAAAGTATTCATCGGTGGAGACCCGTGTTGCCTAGACCACGGTCTTGCCCAACACAAGTTATAAATTCGGGCACCGCCGGGAATCGAACCCGAGACCCCCAGGATTACAAGGCCAGCGTTCTAACCGCTAGACCACCGTGGAACGTTTATTAATAATATTGTTATACAATTAAATCGCAACATTACCCTCCGATATGATCTAAGGCAATAATTTTGTTGTCTGTATAAAATTCCTAGAGGTGATTTTTCCGATAGAGACACACAACGAAGAATTTTTATCCTTGAGATGTTTGTAGTCCTTTAAAAAGTCGATAGGCATGCACAGATATTGCGTGCATAAATTCCTTTAATTCTGCTTAAATTTTAGTTTCTTCGAGATTCTTTGAAGTATTTAAGTTATTCTCCTTCCGGTATGCGATTCAGTTGAACCCTACAGTCCTTATTCTTATTTCAGCTTTCTGTTGTTTTGTAAGCGGATTTATTATTATATTTCAAACTTGGTCTGTATAGTTTTTTAACCTCTGTTTCCGCTTGGTCTATTTAGCCTTATATTCTATTTTACGTCCTAGTTTTTAATACCCCCACTCACTTTCTTTTGTTATGTTGATTAAATTCTCATCCTTTTCTATAATTTAGTTCTCTTTCAAGAGAAAAGTAATATGTTTCAAATTTTTCCCCATTCAAAATGTATATTAGGCTTATAATTCTGCTTACTATAATCTAAATAACTTAATATTCTCTGTTGATTCACTTTTGTGACATACTTCCATTCAGAAAGCTAAATTAAATACATGTTTACTGTCGGTCTCAATTTTTGCCTCAAAAGAAGAAATTTTAATAACTGTGAAATTGTCAGTACGTACGTGGCTACGTGTCACAATTTCCTTATATTACTCCGACAAAGGCAATGGTTATGCAGAGCGCGAAGCGCCGAAGTTTCCAGCCAATAAGAGAACGGTACGGACGCACAGCAGCGCGGTCTGTCGATCAGTTCCGATAACCATTCGCCTCGATTAGGGAAGGCTGCTGTATTAATAAAGTGTAATTATTTTTTTTTTACTAAACTCAGAAAATTTTGTTCACATTTCATATGTGCATATTCGTTATTTGGTAACATGCTTCGATATACGACGCGCGCACCAAATGTACTCCATCGCAAATGCCTGAATTGAAAAATACTCACTCTCTCTCTCTTACTCTCGTACTGAATCCATTGTTTATTATATACTTTTAGCTATATCAAAATATTAGTTTCATACATTATATCAATATTAAAATTATCTGTTTGCTACACATTGCAATTGTTAAAATATTTATACGGTGATTCAAAATTTTCTTGGTAAATTTGGGCGTATTTTATATGGAAAAATTTAAATATAGACTCGACTAAAACAAGTCTGTACTTATGTTAATATCCCTTTGAAATTAATACGTTTTGCAAAATTTGTTGGACCGTCCAGTCCTCGCAAATACGGAATGTCCCCAAAAAAAAAATTATATACATCAAAGAATTCACTGTTCCCGCCGTTTGTCAGCTGTGTGGAGATGAGGACTTTACCATTGTGATGTCAGGGCCCATTTTGACAACACATTTCCCGACCGATGGACAGGACGCAGAGGATCTGTTGAGTACCCCGACGACCACCAGATTTAACCCCAAAATACCTTTCTTGTGGGGTTACTTAAAGGACGTGGTGTACAATAGAAAACCAAAGAAACACTTGAAGAACTCCGATAAGAAACTGAACTGTCTTATTCAGTCGTCCCAGTTTCAACTTTTGTGGTCACTTTTAAGTCACTCTCTCGCCGCTGTCAACAGTGCCACGAAGCTAACGGTGGTCATTTTGAACACCTGCATTAGATTTACTATTAACTGAGTATCGATGCTGACGTATAAAATGGCTTACTTCGTTAAAACGTATTCACTGAATGTGTGTATACATTTCTTTTGTGACATTCTGTATGTAAACATGTCCACCAATCAGGTAGCTAGCTGTCTTTCTCACGCTAGCAGTCAAGGACACCGACTACTGCGAGGTTACTCAACTACGAGACGAGTGTCATTCTGACGTATTTAAAGTCGTTTTATATTAATATTACTCTGAAAAATGAATCAATTTTAAGTGTTACAGTTTTCGAGTCGTGTACTAGTGTAACGTCTAAGTTTTGCGGTAGACGCCTTCGACGTCTTTACGTGTTCAAAATGACGCCTTATATCCCGAGGTTTTGTACACCTTTCAGCGTAAAATTGCCTCGCCTTAGTCGAATTCCCGCTCGCTAAGCCAAGAACAAATAGCAGATCTGCTCATTAATCGTTTGTGTAATTTATTCTTCAACTTCATATCCAATATGAGACACACATCACGTATTTACCAACGTTTCAGATGTCCCTGCTGCCTCCATCATCAGGGCATTCGCCATGATGATGAAGGCAGCAACGAAACTCAGATGACAGCTACCTTAGAGAAAATTCCAGTCTCTGGAACGTTGGTTTTAACACAGGACTAATATTTCTGATCGCCCGAATGAATTTTATGTTTTATGATACCCAAATCTTCAACACACGCCGTTGAATACCATCCCGAACTCAGCTCCAACCTCAGCCTCATATCTACCTTAATATTATCCCTCCACATCTTTCAAGGTTAAAGTCGGTATTTCTACAGATATTTCCCCACTAATATTTTGTATATATTCACAGTTTCCCTCTTACACAAGCCATCATCACAGGCTTATAAATTTCACTGTCCTAAAAATACTATGATGCCTTTATAAATCACGATGTTTCTCGTCGTGTGATGGTTTACACAGACTGCTCTCTAATTTTATAGCTCATAGATTAAAGGCATCGAAGTTATGTTCGTCTCTCATTACAGGAAACTTTGATTCGTGTCCACGCAAAACAACCGGTAGAATTATTGTATTTTTACATTCTCATCAGTTAAGAAGACAGTAGACGTATAAATTCAGTGTGGGTAAGAAGGTTATTAAATCAAATTCTTCCCATTCTACGCATGCATTGAACCGTGTAAACTCTGGTCTTACCTTGCCAGCTCATGCAGCTACAAACATCACATGACTTGGGTACAGCACGAAAAATCTACGAACTCGGTTCAGGCACAATCACTGGACAATGGATTCTCTTGTTAAAGCAATGTTTGTTACAACACAGCGGAGTATAACACACAAAAAGTATTCGTAATTATACACATTATCACATGTTTCGTAATATTTTATCACACACAGCATTGTTACAAGCAACGGTTCTATTTCTGGACACAAATCCCACGCACTCAACCACACAAAGTTCGGACTCACCTTGAACTAAACGCGTTGTACTAACAAATAGTTAGTTCTTGATTTAGCCACAGGCACGTGTGGCAGTGGTTGAAAGGAACAGTATCGTAACATGGAGAATTCGCGAAAGACGCTCCTCATGCTGGAGGGTGGGTTTGTCTTAGGAGACGTGGTACGCGTTGAAAATAACATTTATGGCTGGAAATAAAATAATAAAGAGTATAAAGTAGGTGGTTACCAACATATGGCTTCTATATTCAGAGTAGCATGTGATATGAAGACGAAATATTACGCCGAAACATTGGTAACCATCTTCATGTAGGCTACACCGCGCATACCCTGATGCTGAAAGCGACATTTTTCTCCGATATGTTGGTAATCTCATACCAACACTAAACAACATCATAAATCATAAGACAGCAAACATGTTCACCACCGTGATAACCTCTAATTTTATATATTCTAGATGTTTTTAATGAAGACTTTTCGATGTAGATGCGCTGTGTGACTAATTTTTTGTACATTTGTATCACGTCTAGGCTGAATCTTAACAGTACGGACGACCGATATGCAATTTGTGTCATCAAATGGGGTAGCGGATTTAATTTTTCCCGTCTGAAAAATCGCGAGTGAAATTTACTACTTCAGAGTTGAGTTCAGAATTGAGTTTTATAATTTGTAGGCCTACTCATCTCAAAATATTATTAGAACTATCAAAAGTAATACGATTGGCATGATATGTGGCACGCATGGTACGGTTTTGAAGCTTAACATTTTTTCGGAAATATAAAGGCATGAGATTTTCGATGTACCTGGAAAATAATTAGTGAAAGGAATCTTGAACGCAATTTATGTGATGGTTCAGACATGTTTACCTGGCTCACGTACTCTGTGAACCTAACCTTACCTTAACAGCAAATTCGGTTAAGTTCTGACAAGATGGCGTCTTGTATTCTTCCTGGGACGTACTCACGAAGTCTCCAGACTGCACATACACTAGTGAATATCTGTGAAATTACAGGTCGTTTTCTGATAGTTAGGAAGTTTGAGTACAGCTCTTATCAAATATAATTTTAATTACGAGTTTGAAGGGAAAGTAAGATTTTAATTTTTATGTATAGTGTTATATGAATTTGATAGATGGTCTCGCATCCTAAGGGAAGAATGTGGATTTAAGGTGTTTGAGGACGGGTTTCTGGAAGCGATTAATTTAACCACAGGATAAATTCAGCATAATGAGAAGTTTCATAATTTATAATGCTCGCTAAATATTATTAAAGTCGATCGGACTGAGATTAAGAGAAAATATCTCATAATGGTAGATACATATAAAATTATATTGGAAAATTTGTACGGTATAAAACCATTTGTTAGAAATTGCTGCAGATAGAACACTTTTCTTAAATGTGGGAACGCAAACTGGTCCAATTCCCTCAGAGCAGTAACCTCTGACGTGCACTTGTAAAGACTCTTCCAAGAAAGGCAAAAATATTTCCTTGCCAATTGAAAGAAAATATTCGTTTCCTGAAGAGGACTTTGCTCTATCAGTGAATTTGTCAAATGTATCGTAGTCTACTTCTACACACGCCTCAAAGTCCATTAGGCCTACCGTTATCAGGTTTCGTTTCTCGTGTTAAAAATACTTTGAAGTAAATCCTAAGTTTTATAAGAATAACATGCACAAACAAATATAAAATGTAAGATTTAAGGTTTTCACAGCGG